AGGTGATGTCCGCTGTGAGCATTTATACTTGTGCGGTGATGTGTCTGCTGCAGTTACACCTCTTAACACTGGTAGGCAGCGAGATTTCTGTGAAGTGCTGTAAAGGGGTTAGATTCAAAACACACATTATACACACATTAAACACACATTAAACAATGTGTGTGACAATTTCAAACACAAGTACACAAATCAGCTTCACTATAACTCGCAGCATTCACAGACAAACACTTGTCTTTATCTGGACACATTTTCCCCACAAATACAACATGCTAACGTTATTAGCACAAGCCTATGGCATTTTACATTGTATGTATTAGCCTAGCGGCTAGTGAACTTTTACTCTACTCATATGAAACCAGGGACAACAGCAACATGTAACAAAGGTAACGTTACAGCTCAAAAGTTTCACCGACAAAACAACTGTCTTATACTAAACACGTTTTCCCCACAAATACAACATGCTAACGTTATTAGCACAAGCCTATGGCATTTTACATTGTATAAATTAGCCTAGCAGCTAGCAGAGATTTCCTCTTCTCATATGAAGCCAGGGACAACAGTAACATTTAACAAAGGTAACGTTACAAAATTCAGCTCCATTACAGCTCACAAGGTTCACTGACAAAACAACTGTCTTATACTAAACACACTTTCCAAACAAATACAACATGCTAACGTTATTAGCACAAGCCTTTGGCATTTTACATTGTATAAATTAGCCTAGCAGCTAACAGAGATTTCCTCTGGTCATATGAAGGGGTCCATGTCATTGGTTCGACAGCCCATTGGTTCGACATCCCATTAGTCGGACTGTCCGCGGTGCTGAACGGATCACGGCGAGCATATGGTGCGCCGCAACCGGCTTGAGGCGGAGCAAGCTCACAGCTTATGTGTTTGCCACTTTCTTTTTCATTTTAACCCACACCATGATCTTTTCCTGACCCTAACCAAGTGGTTTTTGTGCCTAAACCTAACCAGACCTTAACCACAGGGCGTCATGATGATTTTGGAACAGACTTCGGAACAATGAGTTTAATATGGTCGGAACAATGGTCTGTCGAACCAATGGGCAGTTCCCATATGAAGCCAGGATAAAACACACACAGGACTTAACATGCTATTTTTGTGGAGGCTTTATTGTCTTCACTATTTATTGTTTCTTATCTGTGAAATTAAAGTAAATCAAAGCTTTGTTTCCACTGAGGGAAATGGTTTCAGCTTACAGAAACAGACAGGAGGTCTGCATCACCGTGACGTGTAGTTACATTTCTGGGGAGGTGCACGTCAGGTTACGGCGTAGGATATAGCGTTGACACAGAGCCCAGGTAGGTAGGTTGGTTGCAGAAGTATAAATAAGATGAAGCTCCCATATCTCATATCAGTTGTTGGCAGTTCGCTCTAGATCTCCCCAGCTGAGCCCACTCCTAAACTCTTCTGTCTGGACACATCTTCTCCAGCTGTTCTTTCGACGACCTCTCTCCTCGTGGGTTCCATTTCAGGGCTTGCTGGTTGACATTTGTGGCTGGTTTTCTGAGAGTGTGTCCAATCCAGCTCCTTTTTCTCCTCAGGATTTGAGTCAGTGGGATCCTGGTTTGTTTGCTTACTTTGTCTCTCCACCAGATGTTTAGTATTCTCCTGAGGCAGGTGTTCATGAGTGTTTGCAGCCTGTTTGTTGTTCTCAGTGTCTCGGATCCATTCAGCAACACCTGCTTCACATTGGGATTCAAAATGTGTACTCAGGTGCTGATTGTTTTGAGCTCCATATCTCCCTGAGCATGTTAAACACCCGAGCCTTATTGATCTGGCTCTTAATGTCGGCCTCTGTTCCTCTGCTGGTGTCCACAACGCTGCCCAAGTATATAAACTCTTCCACCTCCTCTCGGGCCTGGTTGGGTAAGATGATGAAGTTGCTGGTTGTGGGGTGGATCTTCATGACCTGTGTCTGCGCTGAACTGGGTGTCAGAACAAGTTTCGTCGCAGCTCGTGAGAGTCTTTCCGTCTTCTCCTGCATTTGTATCTGTGTGTGTGAAAGGAGAGTGATGTCGTCCATGGAGTCAAGCTCACCCAGCTGCTCCCACATCGTCCACTGGATCCCATTTCTCTTCTCTACAGTTATTACGCGCAAGATCCAGGCTATTGCTCGGAGCAACAGGAATAGTGACAGTAGGGGGCAGCGAGTCAAACAGATGTATCCTGGGTGAGTAGTCTTTGACGATGGCCAAGGCTCTGCTGAGGTAGTGGGTGTCAGCAACCTCTTCAAAATCTGTGCTGATAAAGGCCAGTGTGAAATTGCAGACGTATTTGACAATGGCATTCTCGTGTCCTTTAAAGATCTGAAACAGAAGTTTGACATTCAAGCAAAACATATTTTAAATATCTGCAGATTAAGAGCAACAGATCTAAGATACAAAAATCCTAATCCTTATCTACTCTCACCTCTGTGGAAGAAGTAGTCATAAAACACCACTCGACTCCAAGAGGGGCCTGATTTCACACTTTTATAAAACAGTCATGGACGGCTCCCAGATCTCAGAAATGAAAAGACTTGCCTGGTGTGAGAACTTCAACAGTGAGATCTCAGTCGAGGACTGGCAGATGATCTGCTTGAGAGCTCAAACATAGACCATTAATACTTTAACCCTTTGGTTTCTTTTAAAAACATGGGAAGAAGGCAACGAGCAACAAAAGGAAAAATGACTCATAACATTAGCGAGAAAAGAGAAAATTAAAGACAAGAAAATTAGTTTTTTAAAAAAGAAAGAGAATTTAAAAAACAAACAAACAAGGAAAAGTCCTGGAAAAAGTGCTTAAATATTATAATAATTATTTTTATTTTTTAGTATTGTGGGTTAATATCATATATTAGAAATATAATATATTTATAATGTGCGCTTGCTTTTTTCTTTTTTCCTTGATTTTTTTTTCCAAAAATTTTCTAAAGCTATTATTTCTCTATTTTCCTATCTATTTATTTTCTTATTTCCTTTTTTGAAATTATTATTATTTCTGTTCATATGCCCCAAACTGTGTATCCCTGGAATTTTTCCTGTACGTTGTGTATGAAGCTTATTGCTTATTACAAGCAAAACACACGATAGCTATCGTCGAGAAATCGACTATCAGACCAAGATGTTTAGGACATTTCTAGAGGAGGAGAAGGCTACAGAAGTCTATTTGCCTTAATTTCTTGATTTTCTCCTCCCTTTCTTTTCTTTAGACTGTCAGTCTGTACAAATAGTATTTCTGTTTATTTATTTTGAACCTTGTAAAAGTACCTAATGTGTTTCCCTGACATAGCAGTTGATGTTAAGATGATGCCATACTGTGAATTATTTTGTACCTTACTTTTTTGTTGTTGTTGCTCGTTAACACAAATAGCTAATCAGCCAATCACGTGGCAGCAGCTCATTAACATTTAGTCATGTAGACATGGTGAAGACGAGCTGCTGAAGTTCAAACTGAGCATCAGAATGATGAAGAAAGGTGATTGAAGTGACTTTGAACGTGGCAAGGTTGTTGGTGCCAGACGGGCTGATCTGAGTATTTACTGGGATTTTCAGCACAACCATCTCTAGGGTTTACAGAGGATGGTCCCAAAAAGAGCAAATATCCAGTGAGCCAAAATGCCTTGTTGATGCCAGAGGTCAGAGGAGAATGGCCAGACTGGTTCAAGATGATAGAAAGGCAACAGGAAGTCAAATAAGCACTGGTTCCAACCAAGGTGTGCAGAAGAGCATCTCTGAAGCAACAACACCTTGTCCAACCTTGAAGCAGATGGGCTACAGCAGCAGAAGACCACACCAGGTGCCACTCCTGTCAGCTAACAACAGGAAACTGAGGCTACAATTCACACGGGTTTTCTCACCAAAACTGGACAATAGAAGATTGGAAAAACCACATTCAGATGGAAGCATGGATCCATCCTGCCTTGTATCAACGCTTCAGGCTGCTGCTGCTGGTGGTGTAATGGTGTGGGGGAGATTTTCTTAGTACCAACTGAGCATGGTTTAAACACCACAGCCTACCTGAGTATTGTTGCTGAGCGTGTCCATCCCTTTATGACCACAGTGTACCCATCTTCTGATGGCTACTTCCAGCAGGATAACGCACCATGTCACAAAGCTCACATCATCTCAAACATGACAATGAGTTCACTGTACTCCAATGGCCTCCACAGAGGAATGTTCCAGCACCTTGTTTTACCTGGGAGTTCTGAAGTCCAACCTGGTACTAACAAGGTGTACCTAATAAAGTGGCCGGTGAGTGTATATTAAAGATCCAATGAACACACTTGTTTAAAAGAGTACATGTGATTAAACACATTGTCACATGGTGACATCTTGTGGTGGATTCATGAACTGCACCGTGAAGTCACAGTGTTTCTATGGCTACAGGTCTGGACAATTAACAGCTGGGTTAGTAATAGTCTGGGCAGAAGGATACAAAGAACAGTGTTTTGTTTTTTTGAAATCAGATTCTGCAGCACAGATTTTCATGTTTCACAGTGCCAACACAGTTTTGTTTCTACTCCTGCAGAGTCTTTAGAAATCATCTTAATGTTCTGTACGTTAATGTGATGTAATGTTTGCTGTTTCCTCTCCTCTTATTCTTACTTGTGTTTCAGTATGTCAAGTTACGTTTACAATCAATCAATCAATCAATTAAAGAATCGTCCTCACATAATTGTTGATGTCACAATAAAACAATGAAATGAAATGCATGCAAAGTATATGCACAGGATCTTGTTCACACACAGGTGCGTACACACTCCCACACACACAGACACAAAGAACAGTTCCTTTAGCACAATTACAACACGTGCCGTCATTCATCCGGCCTCCTTGGTGGTTGTCATGGAGATGTCATTGATAAGGTGGACAAAACATTTTTTTTTCCTTTTCTGTGTGTAACTAAAGAAAAATAAAGTCCTGTGAGGCAACGTCACAATTAACAGGCCTGTGCTGAATCAGACCTTCGTTTAATGAAAAGACAAATCAGACGCACTGTGGCGCCGCTGGTTGCTATAGTGCTTCACCTTCAATGCGCTCATCTCTGTCAACCTTTCCTGCTCTGCCTCTCTGTGACTCTCCAGAGCTGCTGCTGCTGCTGCGGTGATGGATTAACCATTTCTTAGACCTGCCTGACGACAAGCACTTTGTCTGAGGAGCAAACACAAGCTGAAAAACCTTGACTGCTGCAGCTCCCGTCTCCTCTGACTAACTGTCACACATACACACACACACACACACACACACACACACACACACACACACACATCACACATCAACTCTGCCTGGTCACAGTCAGTCGCAGCTCTGCAACAGGGGAGTAAATGTCTGCAAGAGAGGACTGATCCTGACTGAAGGTTGGTGAGTAGTGCACACACACACACACACACACACACACACACACACACACACACACACACACAC